TTAACATGCTGATGATAACAACTCATCACATGTTTGAATATACAAATGGAAGCTTCTTTTCTCCAATATAAATGTTTTTGCACCACTTTTTGAAATCTGAAACATGCTCTTCCTTGTGTTTAGGAAATTTAAAACTACATAGAGTCTGACTGTTGAATAACATGATGTATTTTTTACCACTGATCTGCTCTCATTTGGTGGTTTGACCTTTTTATGGCAGCGTCACTGCAGGTGACATAAAAACATGTAATCTGAACCACATTTAGTTTTCAACTTCAAAAACACAGTTTTGGCCCATTATCGAAGCACAGTCATCAGCATACAGAGACGTTATCTTTAAACCTACTGGCATCTTAGAGAAGAAGCTGTTTTAAAATCCCTCTGAGCTGATGTGCAGCAGCACTGATCAACACTTACTGGGAATATTTAGACGTATGCTCTGAAAGCAAACGCTCACAAACGTTTTCCACTCTCACACTGGCAATGTTGCATCATTTCATCAATGAATTATTAACCACATGTTATATTCCTTTGAATGGGCTCTCTTTATTGGATTTCTTTTCAGAGTTTACCAAACCTAAAAGTCTGTAAAAAAAAAAAATAAAATAAATAAAATGTTGGCTGAATTTTGAGAACTTTTGTATTTCCACTCCTAAAACATTTGGATGGTTTAACATTTCCAGACATATCACTCCCACAAACATGGAATTTGGTCAGGATACAGACAGAATAGTCTCCAGTAGATCAAAAATGATTAAACTGCACCAAGCAGAGGCCATATTTTTAATTGTTGGCCTTTTGTAATGGAAGAAGCGGCTGTTTGTTTGTCGTTTCTGCAGACAAACACAGCGATGCAGCTTCTCATCTGCCCGTCAGACTCTAGTTTTTACGACTATAAAAGGCTGGAAGTGATTAAAGGTTTCTGCTGCTTGGATCTGTTTCTGTTTTCAGGCTCTATTGGGAGGAAATGTCTCCACCTGCTGGATTCAGACAGTCGGTCTCCTTCATCAAGCAGCATTCAGTGGGATACAAGCACTGCTGGAAAGTACATTTACTCAAGTACTGTGCATAAGTGCAGTTCTGAGGTGCTTTACTCGAGTATTTCCGTGTTCTTTATGTTTTTTTTGTAATATGAGTGTGTTTAGTATGGAGTAGTGAGTGGTGTGTGTGTGTGTGTGTGTGTGTGTGTGTGTGTGTTGTCTGTAGTCTCCATGGAAACGGAGTCAAACACGGAAGTGCTCCGTCCAGACCTGCTGCAGGTAAACAACACAACCAATCCTCACATCAGATTTGCTCATCTGACCGAAGCTGCTTCATTTAGAAACCTAATAATAGAATAAATGAGAAGTAGCGTCGACTTTTCTACCGCTCACCCGGCAAAGATGAGGTGCGTCCATTATCGGACACGCTCAGTTTGATCGTTTTAACGCGGAGCAATGAGCTCATTAACGGACAGAAAGAGGTGATAAACTACCGAGTAGCGGGTTGTTGATGTGAAAGTGATCTTTGATCTTTCTCTTATTTGCTTTCGCTTTCTCAGTCTGATGTGCATGTTGCTTCAGGTTCTGGTTTCTGTGTGAAGCTGTTGGTTCAGACTGATGAGGATGGATGCTGCTCTGTATTGTGTGAAATATGTCTGATCTGCGTTGAAGGCCGCCATCATAAGTGTTGCTACAAGAGTCTAAAACTTGGCTAAAGATGATGAAACGTCTGATGAATTATTCCCGTGCCTTAGGAATGACTTGCTCAGTGAAACCGCTTTCCTCATCGATTCAGAGTCTGCAATATCGCTCCTCTTCACTCATCCAACATTAGGAGTTCTTCTCCAGTCAAACAGCAGAGAACCAGCAGGTGCCACTGGTTACACGTCATTATAGGTTTTTTTAAATGATTCTGTACCTGTGTGGATCAGACCTGTATCAATACAAACAGATGATGGGACAAAGGGCCCCTGGTCATGTGTAGAAGGGACACAACCCCCCAACACAGCTGTCTTGTGTCTCCTTGATGTTGTTTTGTGTCTCCTTGTTGGTTTGTTGTTGCCAGCGAGTCAACTGTCCTCGGTCCTCAGGTGAGCCCACAGGATGCCCAGGTTCCAGGAGGCTGAGGGAGGCCAGGCTTCGACCTCCGGTGGCGGCGGTCTGGTTGCTAAGCGATACAGCATCCTGCAGAGTCTGGGCCGAGGGAGTTTTGGTTCAGTTTATCTGGTGCAGGACGTCAAAGCTACAGACGGAGAAGAGCTGTGAGTAGATTCAAGTCAACGCTTTAACGCTGCAGCTCTTAAATGCCAGCTGGTGCAAAATGTTTCCTTAACATCCACATAACCTGAAGACGACAGAAAACACTCTTTTAACTCAAATATGTGTCCACGGAGATGTCTGGCATCATCATACCAACCTTTCATGATATCAGAGCAGTGTTAGCTTTTGGTGTCGTCCTCCTGTTATGTGTCTATCTCATGTCCTGCTGTGGTGATTTAGTGTGTAGGACGGTCTGTCGGTGCAGGCTGGATTGATTTGCAGGCTAATCCTGAGCTCAGGTGGCAGAAGGGAGAAAAGAATGGCCTCCACAAATGTTATGAACAACTGTGGACGTATATTTTCAGAATGCAGCCAGTCGTTAATCAGACCATCATATAAAATTTGGAATTACAGGATGAAAGACTTCCATTAGATACATACAAGTGTACCTGATCTTTAATTCATGACTGTATAAAGCTATCTTCACCTGAGTCCAGCTGAGACAACACGGCACTGTGAGCAGCATGATGTGAGTTTGAGTGATGTCTGTTAAAGTTCACGCATCTCCTCTGATAAATATCAATGGTTTAAGTTTAAGTGGCTCAGCGGGGCTCTGCTCACACTGATAGTGACTGGACTGTCCATGCTGGGTGTGAACTCAATGCAGGTCAGAACTGATGAATGTTTGTATGACCTCCTCGTGTACAGTTTGCTGTCAGAGACCAAGTGCTGAATGTACCTTCAACAGCCCGGGAGCTGCAGGATGGGAACAGTTCTGCAGACTGTCACTAGATGGCAGCATTGATCTGTAAATACCTGCACTGGGATACAACCTGTCAGAGCTGATCACTGATCAATGAGTAAGAGGCAGAGATGGCAGGACACACATCTTCAGGTTAGCGTCATTTTACTCCCCAGAACAAACAAACAAACAAACAGAGAAACAAACAAACAAACAGAGAAACACTGAGTGTAAACAGCAGCCTCAGAGATCAGATGGATCAGAGATTCATTGATCAGCTCTCTGCAGGCTTTAATAAAGCACAGCAGCAGTTCATCCACTGAGGCCCAGAGGGATTTTATCATTATTATTTCTGTTATTAATTCAGTGATTTTTTTATTTTTCATCTTGTAGACTGTAAAGGAAGAGAACAACAAAGCAGCGCATCAAGAAGCAATTCCTTCCTTAAACGTTGATGCTCGTTACTTTTTATTTCATGAATTTATATAAGAAACATCTGAATAAATGAACAGGAGCTGTGACGTGCAAACATGTGGCCACGCTCCTCAGTCAGGAGGAAGGTTCACGTCGATGTTATGGAGCTTCTGCTGCGACTGTGTGGAAGTGTTCAACATGTTGCTGGAGTAAAAGAACAAGGAGTGATTTAGTTTTAAACGACTGATGCCACATTAACATGCAAGCAGCAATGCTGTTGGTAGCTGAGAAGAGTAGAAATATGAAGGAGCATAAAATGGACCTTTTCTCTTCACTCTGAGCTCATTTTTCACCACAATACAAAGTCCTGCTCCTCTATGGAAACAGAACAGTCATGACTAGAACCGGTAAGAACTCAGACAAGTCTTATGTGCAGTATGACACAGTTAGAATGAGAGAAATCATTAGAAAGATAGTTTAATTAATTATTTATTTGACCAAAATGGAAAAACCTGAGGGGCTGCAAGGTGGCACAGTTGGTAGCATTGTTGCCTCGCAGCAAGAAGGTTGCTGGTTCGCATCCCGGAATCTTTCTGCGCAGAGTTTGCAGCGTGGGTTCTCTCCAGGTTCTCCGGCTTCCTCCCACAAGGTCCAAAAACATGCTGAGGTTAATTGATGATTGTAAATTGTCCGTAGGTGTGAATGTGAGTGTGCTTGGTTGTCTGTCTCTAAGTGTAGCCCTGTGATAGACTGGTTACCTGTCCAGGTGAACTTGCCTTCACCCTGAGTCAGCTGGGATAGACTCCAGCCCCCCATGACCCTAGTGAGGATTAAGCGGTGTATAGATAGTGGATGGATGGATGGAAAAACCTGAAATCATCATGCGTCTGCAAGTTTTCAACACTGATCAAAATGCAGGCTTCACACACACACTACAGATGTTTACCTCTTTACATTTCTGCAGCCTCTACCAGTCAGTGACTCAGTTTATCTCCTTTCTCTTGTTTTGTGGCACATTTTTCTCTTGGGTCTCATTTAAGTCATTTTGCGTCTCCTTGTTGTTTTGTTTTTTTGTCTTTTCAAACTATTTCTGTCTTGAATCTATTCTGCCTTTCTGTAGCTTTGCGTCTCATTTTTGTTGTTTACATCTCATATTGCTCGTTTTGTGTGTCTGTTTGTGACAGTTTGTTATGTCGACACACACTACAGATGTTTAACTATTTGCATTTGTACACTCTACTGACTCAGTGTTTTTCACTCTACTCTACACATCTACTGTAAAATGACGTTCCTCATGCTGAATGCGCCTTCCAACAACTTGCTGTTTTTGCTGCATTTATTTTATTGATCCAGTATGTGTTGTCTCTCCCCCTCTTTTCTGGTTTTACAGTTTCTTGCTGCTAAATGGTGTCATTTCTTCTTATTATGGTGTGTTTTTTTTAAAGATAAGAGGTCTTTCTAACCAGCTAATTGGGGTTAAAGTTACACATAATTGGACAGGTCGGGGTGCAGCACAATATCTGAGACCTTGCAGAGTTTCAGCACAGCGCTTACTGAGCATGTGCAGAAAACTGGGTGCTGGTTCTGTGCTTCGTCTGTACGTCCTGATGTGTTTGTGTTTTGCTCTTGCTGTCAGGATCCTGTTTTGTGCCGTACCTGTGTGCAGTGTGTCTGTGTGGGTTTACTGTGTCTGCAGCTGCTGTGGAAGCTCAGATCATGAATTGACTCTTCACGTTTGATGGTGCAGTCGGACCCGTTCACGTCTGCGTGAAACGAGACGAAACATGTTAGCCGTGAAATGAGCCGCCTCCTTCAGTCTTACTGAACTTTGACACTCTGCTTTGTAGCTGCAGAGAAACAATCCAGGCAGATGAAGATGCTGTTTGGAGCGTGTTGAAACATCAGAGCCTCCTCGTGGAGCAGGAAACCAGAGAGAACGAAGCTCAGTAGGAACTACCGTCTGCTACTGTGCTGCTGAGCTCTTTTCACACAGAATCCGTGATTTTATCAATACCTTATGCAGATTTTTCTGTATTAAATCGTTGGACAGCGACAAGCTTTCTGTCGGTGAAACTCGAGCATTCAAACATTTCACGATAACAACAGAAAGTTTCTCTCAGCTCCCACAACTCTGTGGATTCAGCAGCTGATGGATTTCTCTCACATGATTAATTCTCACTACTTGATCCTGCCTCTGAGCCATCTTCATGAACACTCCACGGTGACTTCATCTCCTTTCTTGTTCATTTTGACACTGCAAACTCATCGGAGAAACTCTCGAGCCAGGCCTGGACGTGGGTGAGGAATGTGGGACTCTGCGACGGTCGTCATTAAATGCTGCGTCTTTTGCAATCTGCCTGAGTAGCTCTTTCATGTCACGTTATTCAAACCGGAACCAGGCTGTGTGTCTCAGTATGCAGAGACTGCAGGGTGCTGCTGTGATTAACATGAACGCAGCATTGTTGTGCTTGATTGCTGTCGCGTCAGATTTGGTAGAGTTTGCAGAACAGATTTCATATCATCAGTGGCATTGACTCATTTCATTAAGTGTACTTATTAACTAATTGCTGTTCTTATTATAGATTCTTCTGACATGATTTTTGGTACCCAACTCGTCCTGCAGCTTTAAGAAAACCCATGCAAATCATAAATCAAAACCTGCAGCTCGATCGGAAATTGTGTGCTCTGTCTTTTGTTAGAGATTTGTTCTGTGGTTTTTATGAAATTCGTTAAAAAACCCCCCAAAAAAACTCTATTAAAACTCCCCATCAAAATGAACGGGAAGTCGGACAACTGCCAAAACCAAGCCGTCTTCAGAACACTGCAGCTTTGTCATATTTTACAGTCGAAACCTCATTTAAATGTTAAACAGGTCACAAAGGCTTTGATATTTTTAAAAAATCTAAATCCGTGTTTTCACATCTTTAAGGGTATTTACACAGTTACACTTTAAGTTTTATGAATTATATGAAAATCCAGAATCTTTGTCAATTTTCTTTTTTTTTTTGCAACTGAAAAGTTGAATGAAAAAAGGTGCAGGTAAGCTTGATTCCTCCCCACGATTTCTACTCTACACGAACAATTTGTGCATTAAAAATGTTGTCATTTTTGTCCTCTTTCACCCAGCGTGCCTCTCATTACTGTAGGATTTATAGTTTTTTCACACATCATCTTGGAGCACAAAGAGCGTCGACCAAAACTTGAATTCACTCCCGTTATGTCAGAAACGGTGAGTCCCTCTAACCCGCCACCAAATCTGTACAATACACACAATACAGACATGAAAATACACCCGCGTGTTCAAAACAAGATTGTGCTTCACACGGTGAAAGAATTTCTTTAATATCTCTCATATTTTTTAAGCTGTGACTGTTTAAGATGGTAAATCCTGGTGCCTGCCCTCTTGTCTCCTCTTTCTACTGCCCCAAAAGGTGGGAATCACCATAGCAACCAGTGACTACAGGTGATTGGCTGATTGGAATCCTTCTTTCTCAGTTTAGTATCAAACATGGCCGCCTCGGAGAGCAGTGTATGATGATGTGGTGTAAATACAGTGTGGTGGGTCTATCAGCAGGACAACTTAACAAAATTGTGTCCCAGACCAAATATCCTTAAAGGTTACAGAAGGTTTATCAAGGACTCTGAAATATGCTGGCTTATCAAAATAAAATGTATATATATATATATATATATCATACTGTATGTATAGTTATAGGAGGACACATGAACCGGCAGAAGCTGCGTCGGCGCACTCAGAGTTTCTTCAGAAATGTTCTAGATTACTCTGTGATCAGGTGGAACTCAAATTGTCAGATGTCACTCTGACCTGCTGATGGAGGCACAGAG